GAGTAGGGGAGAGGGAGGGTGAGACGAGGATAGTTAGGAAGGGGGAAATGGCCGAGGCAGTAGTAAAGGATAAAGAGGAAAAAGAACAGAAGCAGGGAGGGGGGGAGACATAGGGGAAGAGGGAGGATAACAAAAAAGAGAGACTTGTAGAGGAGGATATGTGCCTTTTTACTTAAAACAATTATCTTGATGCAGAAAAAGGGTGGTGGAGGGGTCTAGTGAGCAGACACCAGTAGAGAAAAAAAGAATTATTGCTACAACAACAACAAGTACAGAGTGGGAGAGAGGGAGGGGAAAAGAGCAACACTGGCTTACTGATGTGAGAAGAAATGAAGGCAACATGGTCAACAGTAACTCTCTCCCTCTTCCTTTCACACATACAGTCAATCTCACAATAACATATAACACACACACACACACACACACACACACACACACACACACACACACACACTCTCCTCCTCCTGTGGGTCAGTGCACTGGGGCATGAGCGTGAGTCCAGCCTCCCAAGGTTTAAATAAGAGCAGAACACAGGATGCATACAGTGTATCCACACAGCAGGGCCCTTATTGTACTTATAGATGTACCCTTTGTAGTCATGTATCTAATGTTCTAGTATTTTTCACATGTAATACATTATCCCCTATTAAGTGGTTCAGACAAGGTGACATGGCGTTTGTCGCTGTTGTGTTGCAATCTCAATAAATCATTTTAATTAAGATGAATATCAATGTCAAACTTAAAAACTAACCCAAAGTGAGGTGCAGAGATTAATATGTAAAGATACATCTATTTACTGTGGATTGATTTACCAATAAAACATTTGCTTTTCTGGAATACATTACCCAAATCCATATTCTAGTATTTTGAATATAGGCAAGGCACTCATCTATAAATTCAACCCTGACTGAACAGAGTTATTCACCAAATATCAGCCACTTCATTATCAATCATCTTGTGTTGATTTGATAAGACATGTCATTCATGTTGCGTCTCACTTTGATGCCAAAGTTCATTCATACATTGGCTATGCTTCATTGACCCCAGTGCTCTGTAGTCACCCACAGATTATGTTAATGCTTATTGGATTTAAAATGTCCACTATGAGCTGGTCAGACTTGTATTTAATGAAAATCCATTCCTTCAATCAATTCAAAGGATGTAGTTTTCCAAAATGTAGATCATTCATCCATTACATTATGTTTAAGTGACATTATGTTTGTAATATTACTGAAAAGGAAACAACATATAACTCCTGCAGTAAACATACAAAATGGAAATGATGCTCCCAGAAAATGATGTGATCTAGACAGTAATGTTTAACAGTGTCACGCAGATGTGCCGTTATGATTGATGGAGCAGGAGCGAGCGATATCCAGCATCAGCAGGTGCAACATGCAGAGTTGACTGGTTCCATGTCATGTCTGATTCACACACATTTAGCAGAAGGTAATCAGGGTTGGCTATAGGTATGAGAACTTCTCCCCCCTCCCCCTGCGAACACCCAGCAAATGTCACTTTTTATTAGAGCAGATGCTCCTGAAGCGGTCTCTGCACAGCCCTTGCGTTCCAAAATGACACACAACAGAATAAGCGAGGATCCTAATTGCATCATGTGTCATCACAAATTATCACACGGAGTCCTCACATGGCTTTCAGGTTTTTCTCCACATCAGTATTCAAGTCGGTTTATATTAAAGTAATGATAACAAATAGTTGTATGCCGTAGGTCACATTAATGAATGTTTTTAGTGAGACAAAATCAGAGAACATCATGGATGGAAACTCTTAATGCCACAACATCATAATGTCAAGCTCTCCAAAGGTCCACTGCACATAAGAGCGCTTCTTACAGTCAGTAATTCCTTATTTCACAAGTGAATTTCCTCTCTTTTAATAAGAGCCACACCTCAGTTCGCCTTGAGGTCGTTCCACCTGTCAGTCAAGTGTCACTAGCTCATCAATTAACTGGAGGCCTGGAAGAGATGTGTGTGTGTATGTGTGTGTGTGTGTGTGTGTGTGTGTGTGTGTGTGTGTGTGTGTGTGTGTGTGTGTGTGTGTGTGTGTGCGCACGCACCGGTATTTGTGTACATCCTGGTGTCATGATATACCTGTGACAGCTGTCATCCTGCAAGCAGCCCTCTCCCATGCTGCGAACACACACACACACACACACACACACACACACACACACACACACCACTGGATCATTCCTCTCCTGTGACTGTGATGGGGTCTCAGCAGGGCTTGGTTCAGGGTGTCGGGTCATTTACACAAATATCTTTAGCTGGGGAATGAATGTCTCTCTGGATAACTGAAGGGTCTCTCTGTGAGCGCCTGCCTGCCTGCCTGTCGAACTCACTCATATGCCTTTATGATCCTTTTTGAATGAATGAATTGTTTTGTTGCTGAATAAACAATGCCTTTCTCTACCTTATTTTCATTACATCAGCACCTGTTGTTTGGCACAATGCACGTCTTGTCACCAGTCCTTGTCAACACATTTTGACTCGAGCAACATTCATGCTCGGATTAAAATAGATGAAAGGCATGTTTTGTTCCTAACGCCATGCTCTGATCTATTGAAAAAAGACTCTTGGTCTTTCGTAAAACTGATTTCAAACCAATTATTTTGTTTCATTCCATTTAATGTACCAGTTTATACCAAACCTGTGCCTATTTCAATCTGGTTTTATATTATTTGTTTCACTCTAGTTCTGTTTGTCCCTGTGTGTTCCTATTTATGTTCACCCTGTTTATCCTCTATGTATTTCCTGTCTCTACTCCGTGCACTCTGTTCCGTCAGATTTGTAATATATGTTCTAATGTGTTTACCATTTATTTGTTTTGGTAATTGTATGTTGCTTGATGTGAGTCTTGGACCACAGATTTCCCATGACCCCTCCTTTGGGTGGAGTCTGGCATGGTCCCCCCTTATCTCCGTCATCTGTTCATGCATTCCCAAAACCCGCCTGGGTGAGGATGTGCATGTATACCTGACAGCAACCTGTCTACGCTCTTATAAAGGATGTGTCTTTTTCACCTTATCAGTGAGTGCAGTTTAAGGACAACACACACGTGGTGGTGGTTCTCTGTCTTCTCTAAATAAATACCGATGATATCAACATGTGATGTGTTGCAGAGCATTATAAATCACTTGTCATCCCAAATTGCACTCACTGGTAAGTAGGAAAATACAGGTTTGCTATAAGAGTGTGTAACATACTTTTATGTATAACTATAAATTATACCGGTATAATTTATACTATGTTTCCAGTTGAACTTTTACACTCTCAGAGAAAAAAATGTCAACATTGTATCTTTTATCACTGGGGCAGTGGATCCTTGGCTGGGCTCAATTAACTTGTAATGAAAACAGGCATCCTCTGTTTTTAAAGGATGCTTTGTGAAGTGAATTGAGCACAGCCCTCTTTAATATTTGCCACACAGCAAATGTCCCAGTGGCAAAAGGTCCAATGTTGTATTTTTTCTCTAAGTGGGTGTATTTGTATATATTATATGTGTATAATTTATGCCGTGTGCACAGCGCAATCCATGTGTCTTTATCTGTTATACAGTAATCAGCACTATCCATCAGATGAAATCAACAATTTCAGAAAGTTGGGAAAATCTATCTGGTCAATATCATTTGAAACAAATTGATTGAACTAATTGATCCATTGATACCCCAACATTATACCAGCCAATTGTTGCATTTAAAGTTCCTTGGTGGTGATTGGAGGAGACGAGAGCGGAGAACTGTGATTGGAGAAAAAACGTAACTTGTTATTGGAGGAGAGGACAGCATATCTGAAGGTGACAGGAACTGCAGCCTAACCTCTAGACTCAACCCTGATTCGAACTGGATCAAATAAAACAAGAAACTTTCTAAAATCTACCGGCTTCATGGCAGAGAACTGATTGTCCACAAAATAACGACTGTTTGAATCTTACCAAGCATTAGCTATTTTCACACTTCATATTAGTGCTGCTCGATTATGGCAAAATCATAATCTCAATTATTTGGGTCGATAATTGATATCACGATTATTAAAAACGATTATCCATTTATTTTGAAAACATCAATTTATTGGAGAAAACAAATGTGAACAGTATGTTTTTAACAGTTGATTATCCTGAACTTAAAGTATAATTCAACTGAAAAACCAATACAAAAAAAAAGTAATAATACAAAAATAATCGTTTTATTTCGATTACGTTGTTTTCGTAATTGTTGTAAGCCATAATCGTAATTGCGATTAAAATAAGATTAATTGAGCAGCCCTACTTCATATTGAAGTGTGACGTAAGAGCTCCAAATTGTACAATGTGGGTCGCTAACATGACTTGACAGTTTGATGAGACAGTCATCTATTTTCTAACAATTAGGCCACAAAATAACATTAGCCGTGGAGAGCAAAGAGTTTATGTAATATACTAAAACATTATATCTTAGAAAAAAACCTGGGAGAGCGGTGGGGATTGGCTGTCTGACCTGTAATCTACTCAAAGCGTTCATAAATAATGTTAGGTCTATTGAGAATTGGATTTTAATTGCTAATTTGGTAAAAACATCATATCGATATTATTGTTAATGGATCCACCCCATCTCATATGGCTTTGAAAATCAAAAACATTTATCCAAAAACAAAGAAATAGAATTTTTTTAAAGTCCGCCCCTCGGTCCCTCCTCCTCTCCCTAACCCAGGTTTTCTATTTGTCATTCTGATTTGATTGACAGCTGAGGACACATGTGGGGGCACTGTGAGGGGCGGCAGTGGGGTGGTGACCAGTCCCGGTTACCCTGGCAACTATGGTAACCAGGCCGACTGTACTTGGATCCTTTTGGCCGAACCTGGAGACACCATCTCTCTCATCTTTACAGACTTCCAGACAGAGGAGAAGTACGACTACCTGGAAGTGGAGGGATCTGAACCACCAACCATTTGGTGAGTGACTTTTTCAACTCCAGTAATCATATACAGTACGTGTCTTTAGCAGTCTTTGTGGTGCTGTGAAACGTGTTGATGTGGCAGAACTTTCCCTTTATCTGCGTCTGATTCAGTATTTGCCAACTAATTCTAAATTGCAGTGGAGGAATGAGTCAGGGTTAAGTGTACAATTGCAAAATTGTGCAGTGCATGTTTCCTACAATTATCAAGATGTTGAAAACGAAAAACTTAAAATGTCTTTCAGGGGTGGATATTTATGTTCAGAACAGGTTGTTAAAAATGCATTGTTATGTTAGGACACAATGGTAACTCATCCAAACAAGCTAAAGCTCCACTGAACTCACAGTCTGCAACAGGAGAAATGTGGTAAACGGTATAATAGAAGGACAATAGATCCCCACTGTACTTTCCTTAAAAAAAAGAGCAACGGATTTAGTTGACCTTTCTGACCTACCATTTCTGCAAAGATAGTGTGTAATCACATCGTTTATGGAACAATTTAACCACATTTGGAGAAAAGGTATAAAAAGTTACACCAGGTAATACAATGAAAAGGTTATTACAGAAGTACAGTTTTTATCTGTTTGGGATAGCCATTTGTCAAGGGAAAAACAAATACGAAAATATAATCTTGAACTATGATATGTTGGTGTGTGTGTGTGTGTGTGTATTCTCAGGTGTAGCCCTTCTGCATGGTGCTTGTATTTCAGAGATTCATTCATTGATCTATGCTTGTTAGACTTGTATCCGCTCTCCATGGTTTCATGTAATTTCCTCATGTGTTATTAGATGGTTCACTCATAACAATATTTGATTGCACTTGCTGCTCATTGATTGTTGGTAAATGAGGGTATTGATTAACCATTGCTGTTGCTGTAACCAATCTGATCTTACCATGGTCAGGGATATTAGTGTGTCTGCGTGTGTACTTGATGTGTGGCCGTAGTAATGGCCAGGAAACTGCTGTTAGGAGTGGTATTGTGTCTACTCTATTCTGTGTGTGTTTGTGTGTGTGTTTTGTGTGTTTTCAACAACTTGAATGCACTTTCTCTATTCAATTTCTTGTTTCTCAAAAATTGCACATTTGATCATTATTTGAACACAAAAGAAAAACAATTGTGGTGTTGTTTACCAAGCTTACTTTTATCCATCCGTTGAACTTCAATACTGTCGGTTTTTTTCTGAATAAGCTGAAAAATATGGCATGGTATTTTTAAATATAGCACAACAAAGTACATGCAAAAAGTAACCAGGCAGTTATTGTTTGTGTGTGATATCAAATTATTGTATTTTTGCGTAAAATGTGCACTTTCCGAATCTGTTAGTCAATATAATATATTTAAGAGACACATATTCAACTAAACACTTGAAATGCAATATACATTTTAAGGAAGCATAAAGCCATGCAGTAGAAGAGTGTCAAGCTTTCATTTTGAACTGGAGCTAACACAAACCCTACACAACTTCAGTGCCTCTTTTCGGGGATATAGACAGCTAGACTATGTATTCTTCAGACTTAGATTATTGGCCTTTGGGGGTAATGTGCTGGCCACTGGTAATATTTAATTTATTCCATCCATTGTCTTGGCTCTTGAGTGTTTTGCTGTGTTGTTTGATACTTGTTTAATTAACTTTAGGTCTCATACAGCATACTGGGGTCAGTGAGTAGATTTTTCTTGTACATGAATCTTTTTCAGCAGCAACACTGATAATACGGTTGTAGCTCTGTACTGAAAAGGGTGGTTGCGTCATTCAGACGTGCAGCCTCGAGCAGAACTAAAACCCACTTGCCCTAATTTTGCAAAAATATGCTACACTGACCTTATTTAAAGTCAGTTTTCTTCAAACACATTTCTTACAACTAATGCAGTGAAGTAAAAACCTGGAATGTAAATAAAACATTTATGTATTGTAATTTAGGAGAACATACACAGGGGTACAAATCACATAAGAAAACACAACATAGCCTAAAATACAGTGTATATATACAAACATAAACATATTCTGTGTAAACCTTATATGCATGTTACACAAAACTCAATGTATACAAACAGCAAGGCACACATAATTATAGATGACCATTTTTGAATTCACAATAAACTTAATTAAACAAATTGACTTCAATGGTTTCCAACCAGGGAATAAAAAGTACTCCTGTACTCATGTCCATTGATTCCACTGCTGTCAAACATGGAGATACAAAAACACTTGGCATACTACCAGCAACACATGACCCCTAAGGAGTGGATAACTGTTTCCCAGTTTGAAATAACCCATGGCCTATGAGGTATCCTGATGACAGGGTCACAATTAGGTGTGAACAGCATGATCCCATGGATTATTTCATTTTCTAAAGGGTGCATGCTGCTGCAGAAGGTCTTCTTGACATGATCTAGGCCAGTGGTTCTCAACTGGTCAGGCCTCGGGACCCACTTTTTACTTGGTCAATAAATCGCGACCCAACATTTTGAAGCACTCAAATCTATTCAACAAAAAAACTTGCTGTAATATATACGCTTTTCAGCATACAATATTAATAAAAGTGAAGTACAGTGCATATATCCCTTATATCCCTTCACAGAACTAAAGTATGCTTTTAAAAAAACTTTTAATGAGATGATGGAATCAAAGCTGAACTATATAAAAAGGCACGCATGCTGAAAACCCAACCTCAGCAGGGGGGTCTGGGGGGATTGTCCCCAGGAGATTTTTAGAAATACTAACATCAACTATGCATTCTGGTACACTCTGAGAAGAAAATAAATACATCTATTACTACCCGACATGTTAATAATATGTTATGCCATTGTTTGTTTTTCACTTTGTTCTGACATCTTGCTGCGAGAAGAGTAAAGAGGAGATAGTCTGTGTGACTTACTTTAAATTGTGGGTAAGGGTAGATAGCCCCCATTGTTCTGTGACCTGTCAATCATCAAACCGGGGGTCATATTTCATTATATGTTCATTTGTATCTGAAGTTGTAACCATGGATGTATAAAGAAGAGTTCTACCGCTAAGTTATTCTCCGTGGGGACTTCCGGCAACAATCTTGATTCTGATTGGCCAGAAGACTCGAAAAAACATCAGCAAAGATATTTTATTGAGAAGATGATCACTACGTGACAGAAGTTTTCAAAACCGTTTATGGTCTCCGGTACTTCCAGTCCAACGCCGACTGCTTGCACAGCGTTAGAAAATCGGGCCTTCAAATTAAAAGTTTGACTTTTCCAAAAAAATTCCAATTATTTATTTTTTTCAATTTTTTTTTCTTCACTCACATATCCGCGACCCACTCGAAACGGGTCCGCGACCCACCAGTTAAGAACCACTGATCTAGGCTACATAGACTCTCTTGTACCAATGTAGCATTGTCTGTATGCCCCAGTGTACCTGAGCATTGTTCCTGTTCAGGTGAATTATCTTATGGCCTCAGTATGTTTCAGATACTTCCATATCAGAAAGCATGCATCGTCTCTAGATGGCAGGGGAATGACATGGATGTTTGTTTCCTCCAGTGACCCATACAGTGTACATCTCAGCACTGTACAGCTTTAATTAGGCAGAATTGTATAGCTGCAGAACAAGTATGCTGCAGAATGTGTCATGGCTGTACATGTGTGCTGGAAATGAAAGTTGGCACTGATTACATTGCTTTACATGTATTGCCTTTTTGTATCCAAAGCAACTAACACTAAGGGCTTTTGAACTGCTAAGACACAGCCCAAAAACTGCAGGATGCATGCAATTCCATACAATTAATCAAATAAGCAAACTCATACAGTGTGCTTTAAGAAACAGAGACAAACTCAAATGTTCATTGGCCAAGATTCAGTCTAGGGGAGCCCACTCTGTGAGGGAAGATGTCTTGGGTTACTGCTGTTCTGTATCTGTGGGGAGATTGTTCAACATTTACAGAGCCAGGACTGCAAACAGTGTGCATCTAGTTGAGCCGTAACTGGCCCCCTTCGTAGTAATAGAGGGGAGTGTAGCTTGACCATTTCCTTGATGAAGGATGGTGTTTTGCAGAACAATAGAAACTCGGAAGGAGCCGTTTCAATGGCATGGTTATTGGTTGTCAGGTTATAGCTTTTTCAATGTGATGCCTTTTCCTTGTTTCATATTCATGTAATTAAATATGTAGCCTTTTTGATTAATGGTCAGACATAATATATGTTTGAATTTAACATCACTTTCATAAACTGATCATGAACCTTATTGGAGGTGAGACCTTTTAAACTACATTCATCATCATTGAAGCCGGTGTCCTTGTAAAAGCATCTGGCACTGTCGCTCATATATTGGATTAAAAGTGTTTTCCATTGAACTGCTCTAGAAAGAGATACACTTGGTTGGATAATACAATTCATTAATTGTGTAGTTTATTCAATGCAAAGATTGAGGATCAAACACCACTTCCCTCTACTTTATTTGTTTAGTGCCGAAGTATCTATGCTTGTTTTCCATGGAGGTGCATTCCTAATAACACTTTTTGTGTGCTATGAAATGAGTCACATATTCTGTTTCTGCATCTTTACCGCATCAGTTGATATGTGCCCTCTTTGTCCCCATGGATACTCCTGAAGCTTGATATTGACAAAAATGTACCCTGTAAACAATACAGATTATATCCCCCTTCTCTGTAAACAACCTTTGTTTATTTCCCTTATCAGAATACTGATAATAATGATTATGGAAGAACAAAACCCATTCCCCAAAAGTTGAGCAGGTAGATTACTACAGTAAATAGCTTAGATTCTAACTTTACAATTGACAAATATAGCAATAAGTGTAATCCGTTTCAATCAAAAGCAAAGAATACATATGAAAGATAATGTGAATGCAATTAGTACAATGGGCACTTAAAGACAGGAGATCAGGCCAGTTTTGAAGTAGTAGGAATGTGTTAGTCTTCTTTTTTTTTGCCTTTTTGTGGAACTAAAAGCACATTGAAAACATTGTCCAGGTTCTCTATAGAAGAGACAATAAATACACCAGAC